GGGGCGGCTTGTTTTACAACGTCGTTGCCAAGCGACGAAAACCCAACCCCGATGGCAAACACCAGGGGGGGGATGGGGGGGCGAAAAAAAAGCGACTGACCGTTTTGGTAATGACGTACTGGGTCGTGGATCGAAACTCAAACTGTGTAAGATAGCGCTCGTCGAACCAGATTGATTCGCGCTCAATCAGTTTGTGGAGTGGGGAGCACACGTGGAGAACTGCGGATACGCGTCGTTGCATGCAGAAGGTCCGGCAGTTGGTCACTTTTCGGGTTCCTGCATGCACCTCCGTAGAGTTTACGAGAACACCTCTAGAAATGTTTCTGGTTGCCTGCTGCTGTTGTCAAGGCATGCCAAGTCACCCGCACACCACACCGGTAGGCTCTGCCATTTTCGAGCAGTGTGGTTCGTTGTGGCGTGCTATGGCCGTCAACAACTGAAGCGTACTTTTCTGCGGTTGAAGCACACTTTTCTGCGCTTGTTCACACCAGAAAGTGCTGCGGGGACATGGCTCAATTTTTTCAAGCACTTCAATCTCCCGGTACAACCGCCTAATTACATATGCGGTAGAACGGGAGTGCTCAACCACGTGTGATTTCTCCAAAATATGTATAGGTTGAGGTTGCTTGCGTTTCCTAGGGCTTAGGGCTGGTCTTATCCACTTGGGCGCACCCACACTTCACACTCACACCAACAGTTTGAACAGGAAGATCCACAGGACTGTGGGAGTAAAATGGTGGGGGTTCCTAACCGCTTTGTAGCAAAACCAGACCTAGAGTTTGAGTTGAGGGTTCGGCACAATAACAAAAAGGCTGTGGAGGTGTTGCTGTGCCGGTTTGCTTTTGTGTTGAGATTGCAAGTTTGGGCAACGGCCAGTGGCCTCCTTGAGAACTGCGCGGGCCGGAAGTTGGGTGTGTCAATGTGGGGAGAAAGGGCCACGGCCAGTGAGCCCCTTGAGAGCTGCGCGGGCCGGGGCATATTGCACGAACTCGATGGAAGGGTTGAACAGCCACATAGAAAGCGAGGACGCACACGCATATGCTGCGGTTATATCGTTGTGGGACTCATTGCAGCTTGCTGCTGCTGCTACTTGTCGCGGTGCTGTTGGTCAGCATGCGAGGAGGATTTCATGTTGTGCTCAAGGAAGGATTGATGGTGGAGCGTGTGCGGTGCGCGAGTTTGAAGACTGTACCTCGTGCTATGTTGCGACGTGGAGTGCAAGTGATATCAGTGGGGCACTTTTTGCCATCTTACCTCCAATAGACCGCATGTGGTTGCCGTTGGGAACTCTGGGTTCGTTTCGCTGACCTATGAATTCAATTCAATTATTTTTGAAATATTCCGCGCCGCACATGCCCCCATACACCACAAACAAAAAATAAGTTGATGACGAAAATATACACACCCCGAGACGCGCTTGCTCCGCAACCACATAAAGGGTGCCATAATAGAACACCCGACAAACCGAGTTCCCCTAAATCTTCCGTCTACAACTTCCCAACATAACATACAGAGAGATACACAAGATGGCTACCAAACTGCCTTGTTGAGCCTGTTACCCACAGGGGAGATATCGTTGTATGCTGTCTGGGAAACCGTAGACATACAGGTAGCCTTTCGCTCACGCTATGCATTCATTGCCAATAATCTATCTTGAACATATTTCAATAGATACAGATGGATTTGTTGTGTGATATTATTTGACAGTTCGGACCCAAAAAAAAGGTGATATAAGGAAACATATTTTGAGATAAGCCATCGTTCCCAGGATCGTTCCCTGACAATCTCGCCAGAACCCGAACTAAGGAAAAAATGTTTAGATTTTAGTGCCGAGCGAGGCTCGTTTTGTGGAAAATTTTGCCAGGAAAACTATTTAAGCAACTTTCTGCGAAACAACACACCCTAACCAGCCACCACCACCACACCAGACCCACACGCACACACAGCAGTCTGCTACGAACATGTTGTACACGATCCATACATCGGTGTAGACTTCGAATAGATTACGGCATCGAAGCATGACCGAAGCACGTTTTTTGCGCTCGATTCGTTCGCGAATACGTAGACGGGACATGGTAGCCTCGCCCACACACTCAACAGTGGGAGCGCTGCAGAACGCTCTGTCAAGAGACAGCTGTTCCCGCAGCAGGGCAGCAAGCAGCCACGGAAGGAGGGGGACTGTCAGGCCACTGTCCACCCCGGCCAATCACGTTCTCCCCAGCCTGCAGACCTTAAATCGGAAAATATTCGCCTGCAGGAAGTTTCCAGGAAACTTTCTTAACTCAAAATCTGTTTCCTTATTTCAGTTAATTTGGAGCCCCAGTCCGAAACTGTATTAGGAAAAAAAAAAATGTATACATATGTAAGTCTGGATGTTCTGACCCGGTCTATTGCTTCCAAAAACTGCAGATGGAAAAAAAAAGGGTGGTCTTGTCGTTTTTTCACCCAATCAAATAGGGACTTTTGTGCTGCGTCCGGTTTCAACTCTTGGTGTGGGAGTGAAGTGTGGGACCGCCAATCTGGATAAGACCAGCCCGTGGTGGGAGAGAATTGGATATCGAGTGGATGTACCGAGCATTCAGCGGGGGCACCACCTGAGATGAAAACCTAGAAGGACATTATTTGACGTGTGACAAAAAAAACACGCAGAAACTGTTCGTGGGTCTGCGAACATTGGTGTTGGATACATGTGCTGGATGATTTGGTGGCACGCAGACTGGTAAGATTGCCGTTTGGTAGGGGGCACCACGATGATTCACGGGGGCCCTCCTTGCTGTGGGAGGCCGCTCTTCGAGCACTCCGTTTTCGTCCGCGGCCCTGGCGGAGGAGTCCATACAGCAGGAGCCTGGCAGTGTCGTGGCGGATGCAGCCAGTAGTGGCGGCTGGGTTGCCGCCACAGAGAAAGGCCAACAAGAAGAGCCCATGCAGCCGCACGGCGGTGGCGGGGAATTTCTCCAGCAGCAAGCGAGAGATGGTGGGCAAGGACCACGGCAGCTACTGGAAGGTGGCTGGGCCAGCAGATCGGGAGCGAACCCTGTTGGACCAGCCGGAGTGGGCCCGGGCATAGGACCGGACTACGTGAAAGCGAAGGGGTTAAACCCCCCAGGTGAGATACTCGTGATTCCAGGAAATGGAGAATTCCTCGACGGCTACAGCAGTAGCACATGAAGAGAGTAACAGTCAATGCCCCGCGTCTCGAAGGGAGAATCGCGGCCATGGGTATGACTCGTGGAGAAAGTTGCTTATCCAAGCGGCCAAGACTGTAGGACTGGAAGGCCAATTGATCGGCAACAACGAGAGACATGCACCTGTCGGCAACCCAAACGTGCCAAGCTCGGAGCTGTACCGCCTCCAATACACCAGTGACGAGGTCTAGAGGGGCCTCCAAGCGTTCCATTTTGTGACCACTGCCATCGTCAGAGAAGCCGACAAGGCGATCGTGAAAAAGCGCGAGACCGCAAAAGAGATCCTCGCGGAACTCGACAAAATCTACGATCCGGAATCGCAGGGCTCGAAACAAGCCCTCATGAAGCAAATGTTCAACTTCACGATCCCCACACACAGCAGCAGAAACCCCATCGAACACCTGTACTCGCTCGAGCTGCTGTACTCACGCCTACGCGAAAAAGGGCTCAACGCTGACGCACCCTTTGTACTCGCCCACTTCGTTGGTTTCCTCCCACCCGAGTACCAACAAGCCAAGTTCCTGTTGGAGACAGTAATGGCGCTGGATAGGGCCGAGATCGTCAGATTCGTGAGCATGGTGCACGCGAGCCTTTCGGAGGGGAGGAAGGCCTCGAAGGGCCAGCGGAGGGCGGAGCACGCTCTCCTCGCGAGCGACGGTAGCGGTGGGGGAAGAGCGCCGGGCCGCGGAAACGGCGGCCGCCGCAAGGGTGGCGGCGGCGGCGGCGGCAACCAGAAGGGGAGAGGGGGTGTTCGCGAAGGCTGGTGGCGGCAGCGGAGGCGGTGACGACGATGCGGGTAGCATGCGCGGTCGCTGTTTCCGGTGCGGCAATAAGGGCCACCAGGTGGCCGACTGGAACGAGAGCAAGCCCGTGCGATATGAGACATGCAAGGGCTACGGGCACGACAAGAGCAAGTGCGACCGAGGGGGCGGTACTCGTGGTGGAAGTGCCGGCGGGGGGGGCGTCTGCGAACACCACAGCACTGGACGTGGCAGAAGAGGCGCTGGCGGTCGGTGGCATCTTAGGCGAGTGTCGCAAAGTCGTTGGTCGAGGGGTTGTAGAGCAGGCTAGGCGGGGTAGGTATGTTGCCGATACCGGCGCTACCACCCACATGCTCGCGAACTCAGATGGGTTCGTTCGTTACGAAGAGTGTGATCGACGTGTGCGCGTCGCCGCCGGAGAAACCTTCCCTATCGTAGGGTATGGCGACGTGACGGTAACCCTTAGCTCGCGCGACGGTACAACCGACCTGTTGTTGAAACGGGATGCACACGTTCCCCGACTAGGCTACAACCTAGCATCTCTCACTTCCCTCGTCGACGATGGGTTCGAAACCAAAACCCTCAATAAACACGAGTTGGAATTGGAGAGCGGGGGGGGGGAGGTGGTGTACTTCCCCCGATGCGGTAGCCTGTACGTCCAAAACGGTTTCCGCACACACAGCGAACATACCTGTGCCGCAATTGCTCCTGGCAACGCGAAAGCGTCCAGCGCCCCCGTTGACATCAATGATTTCCCCTGCGCGCACGACCATNAACGCGAAAGCGCCCAGCACCCCCGTTGACATCAACGATTTCCACTGCGCGCACGGCCACTCCCACGAGGTGCTGCTGAGGACCACGGCGAAGCAGCAAGGGACGACGCTGGTGGGCGAGCTCCGGGAGTGCCTGGGGTGCTCGACGGCGAAGGGGCTTTCCAAGCCCATCCCCAACAAAACGTCGACCCGAGCAGTTAAGAAACTGCAGCGAGTTTTCGTGGATTTGAGTGGAAAAGCTAGGGTGCAGAGCTTGGGGGGAAAGTGGTACACTCTCATTGTCAAGGATGATTACACAAGGTGGAACCGTGTCTATTTCCTGAAGCACAAATCAGACGCCGCTGAGGCATTCGAGACGTACCTTGCAGAAAACCGGGCAGACGGTGCCCCGTCCGACGTCATGGTCGTGAGATCTGATAACGGAGGAGAGTTTTTTGAGGGAGATTTCGGCAGGGTGTGCCGGAAGTACTGCATCAAACAGGAGTTCACCCCCGCGCACAGCCCAGAATACAACGGTGTAGCTGAGAGAGCACTGGGTCTGATCAAGGATGCAGCACTAGCCGCCCGTATC